AGATAAGATAGTGTATATATAAGGGGCTCGCGAGCGCTCTAAGGGCTCTTAGAGCTCTTAAAGCGCTTAGAGGGTTTTCAATTTTCCTAAGATATTAAAAGATTTGCTGATATTATAAGATAGATATAGGCTTAGTATCTCTAAGATCTTAGAAATAGCTCTAAGATCTTAAAAATAATAAAATAAAATACTAATAAGATCTAGTTTAATTAGTAGAATAGAGAGTGTATTGTAAGGAAGTGGAACTTTCCTTAGATTAGATAAGCTTCTATAGCTTTCCTATTTAGGAATAGCGTAGCTTATATAAGCTATGTTATATAAGCTAGCTAGAAAGACTTACTAGGAACCTACTTTACTATACTAGATTGATTTATAAGCAGAAGATTCTAGAAGATTCTAGAAGATTCTAGAAGATTCTATTAGTTTCTATTAGTTTCTATAGGATTCTATAAGGTTCTATTAGGTTCTATTAGGTTCTAGAAGGTTCTATATATGACGTAATATTAGTAATGCTTATTAATTATATAGAAGATTCTAGATAGCCTTCTGCATGTATATAAGGACCTTCCTCTCTCTTAGGAAGAGGATAACGGATAATTAAGTAATAATTCTTCTAATATCTTATAATCTACTAGTCCTAAAAAGGCTATTAGTACTTTTATAATCTCTTTATAACCTCGGCCTATAATTACCTAAGATATTACTAAGCTATTCGCCCGTTCTAGCTTAGTAGAACTAGAAAAGCCTCATTCTAGTTCTTATAAGTATAATAGAACTAGTTTAGAGAGTAAACTTTTAATAAGAATAATTATCATTCGCTTAATTTTTAAATATATAGGTATTATACTACTTTTTATAAAGAGATAAAAGTTAAGTGAAAAAGAGAACTCTAAGATCTTTTAGAATTTTTTTTTTTTTACTTACTAAGTAATTTAAAACCGCTCCGAGTACTCTAAGCGCTTAAAGTAAGATAGCCTCTTTGCAAGCGAGTTCAAGCACTCTAAGTAGCTCTAAGCGCTTAGAATATAACTTATTTTCCCAAGCGATTAAAAGGTTTACTAGTATAAGACGTTTGTATAGAATTATATATTATTCTACTTATATTCTAAGAGTTATTAGCTTTCCAACGCGGTTGCATTCGTAATAATATACACTTATAGAGAGTCCCGAAGAGACGAATCAAGTTTAATAATATAGTATATAGACTTACAGAGCGTAGCAGCCTTAATCTCTCCTATAAATTGCACATAGTTTTGTTTCCTCAAAGCTTGTATAAGATACTAGGAAATTGAAGTCCGGGTCGTCTTGTCGGCCTAATTAGATTCCAATATGAAAGCGTTGACGGCTCGGATCACCCATGTAAGTGAAAGGCTGAGTGTATCTCATAGTACAGACCCGAACCCGAATATGGATCGTATCCAGGTACGTATTCAGAACCTAGCGAGATCTCCAAGTTATTCCTAACAACACGGACCCCAAATCCCAGGTGTGAATAGCGTGTAAGTGCTTAATACTCGACTACAGCTATATACAATCCCCCTTTCCATCCCTGATCCCTAATCCCTAAACTCATCCATGAACTCCTCATGAAACTTCGTAATCCTCCCCACCCACTCCGTGCCCGGCGCCAAAAACGTCGTGCGGAAATGCAGCGTCCCCTCCTTCTGACCAAAGCCCGATCCAGCAACCACACAGACCCCTGTCGCGTCCAGCATTCGGAAGCAGTAGAACTCGTCTGGCTTGCGGCCTTCCTTTTCCGCGGCCTCGATTGCGCGCTTTGGTAGGCGGATTGTTGGGAAGAGGTACATTGAGCCCTGAGATTGGAATTGATTTTAGAATTCGCGCTATGTATGAGGGGACCGGGGAAAGTGGGGTTTGGGGGCGGGGGATACTTACTGCAGGACTTTGACACTCGACACCCTCCATCTCCTTGAATGCTTTGTACAGCGCTTGCGCCCGCTCGAGTAGGCCCTTGAATATGCTGTCGTATTCTTGCTTGTAGAGCTCGTAGCTGGGATCCCCTTCTTGTGGCGGGTTCACCATCATCTCTACCATGCACTGGCCGATAACAGGCGGACACAGCTGTATCGAAATGAACTTGTATACTTCCGCCGCTACCTTCTCATCAAAGCCGATGAGCTCGAAATAGCCGCCGCGGTGACCGCACTCGCCGACCATGCCCTTGGAGATGGAATGCAGAGACGCTAATTCTAGATTGTCGTACTTGCCGGGCTCGGCTTTTTGCAGATCTCGTAGCCCTTTCTTGAACGAAATGAATTTGCCCTCGAACACATTCGTCTGGTACACCTCGTCGGCCATGACGACGAGTTTTTCCTCCTGGGCGAGCTCAAGCACAGATTTGATAGACTCTTCGCTGAGCGAGGCGCCAGTCGGATTTCCGGGGTTGATCACCACGATCGCCTTGACGTCTGTCCCTTCCGATCTCGCCTTCTTTAGCGCGGATTCGATCTCTTCCATGTCTGTGCCCCATGCGTGTGACTCGTCCAAGTAATATGGTACGCAGCGGGCGTTGAGTACGGACAGAGTTGCGGTGTATAGCGGATACTGTGGTATGGGAACAAGGATGCCGGTCTCTGGCTTAGAGCAGATGACGTGGAGGAGAGTGTTGACACCGCCGGAAGCGCCGTTCGAGAGATATACGTGCTCTGCATCCGCGGGGTAGCCGTCGCGCTCTGCACAGACATTATAAGCAATGCACGACACGCAGGGTTGTCGGCACGCGACCTACTCTCGATAAACTTTGCAACGCTCTCCCGTATACCTGGCGATCCGTGACTTTGACTGTATGCCCCAACGCTCTTAACGTACTTCAGCAGCGTCTTTGCCCGATCTATCACGTCCTGCTTGTAGCCCAGCGCATCCTTTAGCACGTCCTCCTTCTCCAGCAGCAGCGGGTTCTCCAGTATGCTGGCCACCTGCCTGAAGAAGGTGATGGGCTTCTGGTCGAGCTGTTGCGGGTTGCCAATGTTGGCGGACACTACGGTGTCGAAAGGCAGATCGCCCTTGTCGCCCTTCAGGAGCTGCGCCCGGTACTTCTCGGACCGCACGGCGAGCTCGCCGCGCACGGCATACTTCGCTTCTTTAATGTGCGGGTTGATGCAGTCATAGGTCAGGGCTTGGACGCTGGAGGCGTTGGACATGGTGAAGGCTCGAGATAATGGTGGCGATAGGAGCTGCGGGTTGTGGGATCTGGGGACAGGAGTGAGGAGGAAGTGGCCTGTAGATCTGTATCAGCCAGCTGCTTGTGGGTCTACCTTATTTGCCTTGCTTCTGGTCTGATGATTCAATCTGGCCGAGAAAAAGCAGTGATGCTGAAATGATATGTTGGACCCTGTGTAGCTGCCCCCACCATGTATAGTGGACCCGAAGCAACAACCGTGCAACGTAAACAGAGAGTGAAATACCTTTGCGTACCAACTGTGGGCTCAACCGCACAATATCACGGCTTGAATCTGTAAAGGACCTCGTAAGATACTGGCATGACTGCCTCGCCAGACAGTTCGACGGCAATGGACGTGTCATCGGGACGGGCCTATCGCTTATCGCGCCGGCAAACGGCTGGAGTCGGCGAAAGAGGGTCCTGGGCGAAGGGAGAGCGAGCGCCGACCGGTTGCCGGGTTTGGTGCTCAAGCGCCAGCGAAATGGCGAGTCACGTCATGTGTCAGGCTTCGTATAGAATATGAGTACTGGCAAGGGGAGATGCAAGACTGCCGACGATGCTTGAGGTTGAGATGGGGTCTCGGGGTCTCGGGGTCTCAGGGTCTCACGAAGACGTGCAGCAGCCGCGCGGGGATGCGTGCGGCTGGTTTCCGTTGCATGACAGCTCCGACAGCCCTGGTCCTGTTCTAGAAGGAATCCAGACCCTCGCATCTTCCGGCCAAATCGGTCTTGCCGACATCCAAGTATTGTGGACTACATGTTGAGGATACATCCGACGCCTTGCAATGGAACATATATCCCAATCCATGAGCGCCAGAAGCAATGCTACCTTCCAGCAAGAATGGCACCGTTGATGCGCAGCAACCAACCCTCTGAGAGTTGCCTTGTCAAAAACGCCGAAGCTATGGCATTCGAAGTCGAAGATTGATGACGAGATCGACGCAAGCCCTGAAACCGATCAAGTGCCGAAGGAGAGCCTGCCATATGGGATGATGTTGCAGAAGAAAACCGGGAGAAGACCCGCTGCTGACGGATTCGTGCTCGCCGTCGTGTGAACTAGACCTTGTAGAAACAGAACGCATGATAGAAGCTAGCAGCTTCGAACTCCTCGTTGCTGACGAGCAGTGGGCCTCTATCGCGCCCACGGACACCCATACGCTCGCTAAGGGGTCCCAGGGTAGGGTCATCCTTCTCTTCATCCCAGACCTCGTTGAATGGCTTGCGATACTGTAACTCAAGGTTGTAGTCCTCGGCCAACCTATCAAAAGATCATCAGTACATTCGACGTATGGGGAGAAAGCAACTTACGCTCTAAAGGCTTCCCACGGAACCACATATTCTGGAACCTGCTCCACCGCTTCCTCTAAGAAGTAGAAATACTTCCACCCAAATGGCGGCCTGAAAATACCATCCTTGGGCGTCTTCCCGGGGAACTTGACCGTGTAGATGCTGTTGCCCCACTGGAAGCCCTCTTCCTTTATCTCACCTTCTTCATCTGGTACGGCTGCGGCTGCGGCAGGCTCTTCTTTCTTCTTCTCGTCGGTGTCCAGGGTCTTCTCCGGATCCCAGTCGTCGTCATCGTCGTCTGCGATGCCGTTGGGTTTCTTCTCCTCGTCCAGACTCTTCTCAGGGTTCCAGTTGTCGTCGCTATCGTCTTGAACGCCACTAGCACCTTCCGGCCCGCTCATTTTGTGATGCTCCTCCACCTTCTCTGACAGAACGTCCGAGTTGGGTATCACGCCCAGAAATCTCCCTCCCTTCTTGAGTGCTCCAGCTACGTTCTTGAGCATGCCTCTCGCTTTTGCCTCGGATTCAAACGCATAGTGCATGCAAAACATCATGCTGACAATGTCGAACCCACCACCACCCCACCGCTGACTGATACCTCCACCGCCCGGGCCGACACTGCCATCTATGCCGACCTGTTGTATGAGCGGTATATCGCCGATCCACTCGCCGAAGCAGTCCTTGACAAAGAAATGTCCCTCAAACAACCGTGACGGTCTTCCTCTCGGCGGCGCCCGCTTCTGCATCTGGCCGTACCTCTCCTTCGCCTGGTCGATCGAGACGTCCGCGGGGTCTAGCCCGATATACAGGCCCACCCGCTGCGGCGCGCTCTGCCACTTCTGCAGATCCCCTCCCTTTCCACATCCCACATCCAGCACCAACAGCTCCTCCCGCCTTATATTCTCCTCATTGGTCAGGCCTTGCTCCGTCGGCGCGAACTTTTGTATCAGACAGCTCTTGACCCAGTTGTTGAGGCTCCGCAGCCCCTTGATCTTTGAATCCGTCTTGCGCCATTCGCGGCCACGCTCCGGAACGGCATTGTAATGCTGCTTGACCACGTCATGGACGCCTCTGCCTGCTATAGAAGCGTGAGCTAGCGCGGCCCGCTCCTGTTCTCTTTGCTGCTCGCGCTTCTTGGCTTCGGCGATGTCGGCTTGGTTGATGCGTGACGCTGCCCCAGGACGCTTGCGGGGGCGGGCTGGAGAGGGTGACCGAGAACGAGAGCGCTTACGGGCGGAAGATTCTGGGGAGGGCCGGCGCTGTTCGCGTTCAGGACGGCGCTGATAGGCAGCTGCACTGGGGCGGGCGCTGGCGGGGGCTTTGCTGATGCGGGACGCTGTTCCGGGTCTTTTACGGGGCTTCGTCTCTGGTGATCCGGAGGGCGAGCGCGATGGCGCACGCTTCTGGGTCTGCATGTCGGTCATTGTGATGTTGAGAGCAGTTGTAGTTGTGGTTGAAGAAAGTTGGATGCGGCTCTTGTCCTCGCACATGTCTTGGTGCCTGGCCGAAATTCATAAAATGTGGCCCAAGCTTCATTTCTATGCACGGAGAACTGCGGTCAACACTCTCAACATCGAAGCTCCATCTGACACTCATACTGCATCTGCCCCGCGCCTCAAACTCGACGAGTCTATCTACAAAGTGCATCCGAAAGCCTGATCAACCCCACCGACCATGGGTGACCCTCAGTACGCTAAGTATCCCGACCTGCAGCTCTCCCAGCACATCTTCCAGCTCTCGAACCCATCCGCCTCGCAGTCCACGCGGCAGAGCTCGCTCAAATACGTCCAAGATGCTATCCAGGAACACAAGATGGCGCCACTATACCGGCACCTTGCCCACCCAGCCGATGGCATCCTGAATGTGGACGGCGAGGGCACAGCAGCGCAGCCGCCGAGAGGGTTGAGACGGTATTCAAGTGGCGCTCCATCGTTACTTGCCACACGGAACCCGTCGACGGGGGTAAGCCTGCCGTGGGATGAGCAAGTGTACGAGCAGCTCAAGGCGGACAATGAGAAGGAGCTTGAGGCCATCCAGAAGGAGGAGGACGAGGCGACGGAGAAGGCGGGCGAGACGGAAGTCCAAGCAGCCAAGGGCAAGCGGGCAGAGTTCTGGGCACGAGTCGGCGATAAAGTACGGTCTCTATACTCGGTGCCATATAGCCGGAAGCTCACTGTGTGTCATGCAGGACCAAGCGATAGCAGCCCACGAAGCTGTCTTCGAGAAAACCGGCATCCTCGGTGCTAAGATAGATCTCGTTCTAGCCATAATACGTCTCGGCATCTTCTTCAACGACCGGCTCTTCGTCAAGAAGCAGGTCGAGCGCGCCGCTGCCCTTGTTGAAAGCGGCGGTGACTGGGACCGCCGCAACCGCCTAAAAGCATACCAAGGCCTACACCTTCTGACCACCCGCTCACATTCTCTCGCTGCGCCACTGCTTCTCGACAGTCTATCGACGTTCACGAGTTATGAGCTCTGCAGTTATTCGAACTTGGTCGTGTACGCCGTCCTCGCCGGCTCCATCTCCCTCAAGCGCGTGGACTTCAAGTCCAAAGTGGTCGATGCCCCGGAGATTAAGGCCATTCTCGGAGATCGCGAGGAGAAGATATCAGCTCTGACCGGCGCCGTCTCCTCCGGACCGGCAGCCGGTGACGAGGAGATGACCGAGGCCTCCAACGCGACAGCTACTCCCGTTCCGACCGCCGTAAATCTCACGGCGCTGGGTCAGTCAAGCGCGGGCCAGCAGGAAGCTATGGAGACGCAGGTCGACTTCAAGCCCCTGGGACAGCTGGTCAACAGCCTCTACGTGGGCGACTACCAGTCCTTCTTTACCGCGCTGGACGCAGTTGAAGAAAACTTCCTTAGCCAGGACAGGTATCTCTATGAGCACAAAGGCTGGTTCGTAAGGGAAATGAGGTTGCGTGGCTACGCACAGCTCCTGCAGAGCTACCGCGTTGTCGGTCTCGAGAGCATGGCAAAGGCATTTGGCGTCAGTGTCGACTTCCTCGACAAGTAAGTTCAGCCGCCCATATGATCTTAGATTTGGTTCCGAGTGCTGACACGCTGCAGGGATCTTGCCAAGTTCATTGCCGCTGACCGCATACCATGCAACATTGATCGCGTCAAGGGCATCATTGAGACCAACAGACCGGACGATAAGAACAAACAGTACCATGATGTGGTCAAGCAGGGCGATCAGCTTATCACGAAGCTGCAGAAGTACGGACAAGCTGTGCGCCTCAGGGGTAGCGAAAGGGGTTGAAGAGCAGCTTCGTAGTCAAGTGTGTAAAACCTTGCCGTATTTCAGCGAGACCGGATCCTGTATACATACTAGATCATACCTAGTCTACCAAGGCTCGGCGTGGCGTTGACGGGGTGATTTGCTCTTCATCCGCATGGCTGGAAGAGAGAACACTTTCTCGGGCTGGTAGACAAATATCACGCTGTTCCTGCTGTGAAGATGACTAGAAGCAAAGCATATGCCTACCGACCTTTATCCACAGAACTTTGGGTTCTTTGCCGAAACCACTCCCGAACGTGAGATGCTTGGGACATGGGAGTGCAAGCTTGTGACGCAAAGCGATCAACCTCGGCCCTGCGGCTCTCCCTGAACAGCAACCCTCCACCTGCCCACCGCACCGCGCCGGTACTCAAGTTCCACAGCAACAAACGCCCCCTTCGACTCTCTATCATTTCCCACGCCTAGATCGCACCTCTCACACCTCCAACATGGCTCCCGCCGCCGCTCTCATCTATCACCCAACAGTCGCGCATTACCTCAGATACGTCGCGACAACCGGTACGCACCCCGCCTCCTCCGTCCACCTCCGCCCACCACTACCACTTCCCCAGACTCCCTCCGCACCCCAAGCTCTTACTTACTCCCTCCCTGCCACCCCCTAACCGCATCATGCCAGCGCTAACCTCACTCCCACCACCCCCCCAGTCGGCCGCGACAAGCTCCTCCGCACCCTCCAATACTTCTCCCGCTTCTACGCCTGGTACCTATTCCGGACAAACGCTTCAGCCGCGGCGATCGCGCCCTACGATGCAGTCAAGAAGCAGTTCGGGCTCACCCGGAAGATCATGCGGCTGGGCAAGTTCGTCGAGCATCTCAAGGCGGCGGCGGATGCGGGGGATAAGAAGGGGCTGGATCCGATTATCAAGTAAGATTACTGGTCATGGATAGTGGTGCTGGGGTTGTGGGGGTGGGGGGTGTGAGAGGGAGAGAGAAGGCTGACAAGGAGACAGGTATTGCGCTGTAGGACGGCAGCTGGGATATGCCGGGTACATGATTCTGGATAACTTGACCGTCGTATGTATTTGGCGCTGCCCGACCACTTGCGGTTCACGAAAGGGCATAGCTGACTGAACATCTTTCTAGCCCGATGCCGTAGGCATCCGCCCCATGGCCTCCTCCAAGCGCCTGCTCCAGCAAGCCTACAAGTGCTGGCTAGCAGGGCTGCTCTTCAACGTCGTGGGCGGGATATACCAGCTCAACTTGCTGCGTCAGCGACGTACCGCCCTGACGCTGGAGCAGGAGAAGACTGGGGAGGGGGTTGTTGAGGTCAAGAAGCTGCAGAAGTACGTGAATCACCTCCCCGTTGGGATGCGATGGATGCTAAACGAACGTTCGTAGGGAGCGGAATACGTTGAACCTCCAACTCATCTCTGACCTCTGCGATTTGACTGTCCCGACCTTCGCTCTGGGATACGGCAACCTTGATGAGGGGCTTGTGGGCCTGGCTGGAACTGTGAGCTCGCTGATCGGTGTATATACCGTGTGGAAGAAGACGGCGTAGAACGCAGGACAGGGTCGGTGCGTGGTGGGTGGCCATGTAAGTGGACACGGAGGCTGGGGTTTCTTCTTTAGCGTTTCCTTGGTGTCAGCCTTTTTCTGCCATGTCGTTCCGATCTTGTAGTACGTTGTATTGTTGAAGCCATTTTTATCCAATCTTATTGATCACGTCGCCATCAGCACCATTCGACTGTCGTCTGACACATAGTTTTACCCATGGACCTTGCTTGGGCAAGATCAAGGCACGAAAATTCTCACAAGATCAACAGTCAGCAAGAGCATGAGAGCAACTGGGGTATAATGAGTGTTCCTTTTATTTTGTCGAAGCAGCAAAGCTAGCGACGACCTATCGCTACCCGAAGACCAGTTCACCAGTCTATCAAACCCAACCACCCAGCCACGCCAGCGCAGCAACCGGAAAAGGAAGCAGAAACCACGTCCTATCAGCTCCACTGCCCTGCAGCAGAGCCACTAAAATCGGCACCACGAAGCCAAAACACACACATCTCACCGCCGAACTTCCTGCACCGTTGCTCTGCCGCACTATCATACCCAGTCTCGGATCAGACGACGGATCAAGCGACGGATCGACCGATGGATCAAGCGCCGGATCAAGCTGATCCGTAACCTGGGGCGGCATCTTCGTAGTAACGTCGAGTCTCCCGACTGGTGCTGCGACGCCATTAAACATATCTACCGTGCTCACCGCCGGGCCAACATTGAAGAAGTCCACCAGCACGAACGTCGCAGAGGCGCCATAGACCTCCATACAGCTTATCAGCCGTGCACCCAAGCCTCCGGGGCCCTCTGGCGCGTTTGTGGAGCCGATGTGCCGGATGTCGGGCACCTGGATGCCGCCGAGCTGGTTCCAGTACAGGAAGTGGTTCTGCAGGAAGAGTTTCTTGCTCGCGATGGCGGCGGAGACGTTGCCCTGGATGTCGCCAGGCCGGTCGGGCGTGCAGGTGAAGTTGGTGGGGGTGGAGGTGTCGTAGGGATTTTCGAATACGTGCGCGAATTCGTCCATGAGATACGGCGCCTGCGCTCGTGAGTCGTCTTGGGGGAGGTAGGCGATGAAGGTCAGCATCCTTGTGCCTGCATCGATGAGTGTGTTCAAGGTAGGCCACTGATCCGGGGCTTCGGGGGAAGGGGGGATGTATGAGCAAGCTGAGGCTCCTGAGAGGGTGTACTCACCTGCTAGGTCTGCTGCGGTGGCTTGGTCTGAGTTCACGAGTACGATTGTGACGACGTCGTCGGGATGTTGGTCCAGCCAAATCCTGATGGTGTACAGCCAATCGCTTAGTCGACCGGCGTCGCTCAGCTCGCAGATGGTGTGGCAGAGGTGGAACTCACGGGTGCCGTCGGGCATGAGCCTGGCATGGACCTGAGCGGATAAGAGGCGGACGCCGGCGTCGAGTTGGACAGTGGTGTTGTACAACTGATTGCCGAAAGAACTCCAGCCAGTGGAGGCATCACGGACGAAGGGGCTGTTGTGGGTGCCAAGGTGGACAATGCTGTCGAACGGCCTATCGCAGAGATCGGGTGAGTTGTTGCAAGTCCGCTGGGTTGCCTGCGCTGAGATACCAGTCCAGCTGGTAAATACTGCGAGCGTGGCCAAGTGGATCGTGAAGGTGGAGAAGAACATCCTGCAGGATCAAGTCGGTGTTTCTGCAACAAGTGAGTGTATCTGAAACGGGTAAATGTGGCTGCACCAAGTCAGATTCAGACGTCGGCGAGATCGAATCTGAGCTACAAACCTGGAAGGGGCTCAATGCACCTTTTGTGTGGTAAAATATGCGTTGTAAATATACAGCTTCTGCAATAGGGATGCTCGACAATGCAATATACCAGAAGAAATATCTACACAACGTTGCCGTTGGAAACAAAGAAGACAAAGCCAGATTGTTAGGACATACACAACACACAATGCCTGAACTGCGATGCGGATATTGGTAATGATCCAAGGCAAGACGCAAGTGCAGCGAGCTATTAGGGAATCAAGTGCTCTGTGCAGTATACTGAGCAGAGTTTGAGGATCTGGTGAACCATTCTAGCTGAGAGAGGCAACCCAAGCCGCGCACGGGAAGGCTTAAGCTGCATACGAGCATCATTGAATTTGGACGCGGGCTGGTTGGTTATCATTGGACTTTTATGGTACACTGACTCGAACGCAGTCTCCTTAGTGTGACTTTTTCCGGCTGACAACTCTCGGTAAAAGTCACGATAAATCTCCCTATCAGCCAAGAATAAAAGGCTGGAAGGTTGTACTGGCTGAGGAGGAAGGGAATGATCTATTGTAATGGGAGTCATATCGCTACTAACCAGTTCAGTCATCCGGAAGTCTCATCGCCTCGTTCGCCATCTTCCTGACCCTTCTCTGACCCTCCGATATCTCAATTTCGTTTTCATCGAATGGCTCAAGGCCCAGAGCTCTCCTGCCTTCCAGCGAAAGGATGTTCTCTTCGCGCGCGCCGTGATCTTCATGCTTTGCTTCGACTTCAAACGGCCCGCCCATATCAAGATAAAAGTCTGTCGGCGGCTCCACATCGCGAAATGACTTCCGCATCCTCCGCATGTTCTCGATATTGTATGGACACAGCGGAACGCTGGCGTTGTAGAATACCTGCACTGCTGTCAGCATACACTATGAAGAGACTCGTGGGAAAGGCAAAGTACTGTTGAGTCTAGTTTTCCATTATGCTGGTCCTCCACCTCGTGGACGAGATCAGCATGCCAAAACATGTAGTCGCCCGGCCGGACCTTTGGAACGCTGATAACGCTCTTATCGAGTTTTAGGTGCGGGTGAAACTTCGGCGTAGGAAAGAACTGCCCATTCCCTGGCGATGCACCAGGGAACGTAGGTTGCGTTACGTCGAGCTTCTCCTGCAAGAAGAATGGCCGCAGCATGATGTACGCCATGCTCATTTGCAGACTGGGAAGAAGGCGTAGAGTGCCTTCACCTGGTCCACAATCGGAGAGGCTCAGCCAGCCTTGCATAGCACGGAAAGCGGAGCAGCTGCCTCGCTGACGGTAGAGGTCGGTTTTGGCGCTCGGGCGGTTGTCCATACGCCAGGGATCGTAGTCCTCCCAGTTACCGTGGAAGATAGCCTCGTAGTTTGACCGGTACTTGGGGTCTTCCCATCTCTCGATGGCGCTGGAGTCCAAGTGGGCCTTTAGTGTGTATTCTTTGTCGCCTGTCTCATCTGATCAGATAAGCAGAGATGTGTCATTGAGATCGCTTCGTACCAGCCTGTCTGATTCTGAACCTATCTGCATATACTACCTGAGACTCCATGTCAATTGGTAGATCCCCATCATCAACATGCCAAAGCTTCATAACGGCGTTCATCGCCTGGAGAACCTCCGGATGAGATCGCATCTGGACCTGCGGCCGTGTCCAATACAGCAGCCAAAAAGTTGGATTAGCGAGAGGGCGTCCGCCGACCGCACGGTGCTTCTTGGTATATTCCATCAGCCCTTTCTTCCAGGATAACGCCTGCTCCTCAGAGACTACCCCTCGAAAGAGCACGCATCCCGCGTGCCGCGCCTTTTCTGTGATGTCTTCTGGAATCTTTCCACCTGTCTACGGTTAGAGAGGACCGTTGTCGTGAATCTCGGCGGCAGACCATTTGCTTTGATGTCCGCCCATTCGACTTCTGGGATCACGGCTTGTTGTAAACTGCTCAGTCGCTCTACCTCAGCGCTTAGTGCCTCTTTCAGGCGCTCGTAGGAAGAGGAGATGGCTGCCTCATCTTCAGGCTTGACGATCGCCCTCTTCAGAGCAGCAAAGCGCTCGTCGAGTCGAACCGGTTCAGGAAATGCCTCCAACTCAGTGATTGGATTCGTAGCGCTTTCCGATGTCGTTGAAGTCCTGGCCATCCTGCAGGTTTCTCTCCTAGAAGTTGCTTGACAAGGATGTTTTGCAGTATCTCAAGCCGCAAGGCGATATGTACTCCCACGTTGTTCCTGCCTACGCCTGTGAACGGTGATTCAGCACGCTGAACAACATAACAGGACATGATCGATTGACTAAAACTCGAACGCTTGCGGGGTTCCAGGCCATATCGCTTGAAGATGACCCGAGAAACTGCGGGATGTGATAGATGGGAGCTCATGGATGACCTGACTGCGGCGAGCAGCACAGAGCCTCTTTGTTGTCCATCACGTTGTGGTCGGAGGTAGAGTTCGACTGTGTGAACTCGAGCTTTGCGTTGCTCCTAAAGGTATACTCGTATGACGAAGAACTGAAGGCTTCGTTGGAGCTTCTCCGTCGTTGGAACGCGCATTTCACATTTTCACGTGGGCTCGGCTGCCCCGCCACGTCATCGGTCTGACAATCTCAACTCGGAGTTTTATTTATGCACAAGATCGCAACAAGCCTTCAAACTGTCAGATCTGTGCCATTGACCTTCGCTCGCACCATCTTCTTAGGCCCCAGGAAAATGGCAGGAGTAGCTGATTCGTACGCCGGTAAATGAACCCACAAATATCTCGAAACTCCTACCTAGCAGGTCATAGGGCGGGCTATCCCCTTTGGCATCCTCGACTAAATCCTCAATTATAGATCCAGTCCGCATCGCCGTGATAGGTGGCACAGGCCTCCAATCCCTCCCCCGCTTCACCCACGCCGCGACCCTCAACGTCTCAACCCCATGGGGCGCGCCCTCCTCCCCAATCTCCATCCTGCACCACCCCTCCCCGACCTCCGGAAAGCCGATCCCCATCGCCTTCCTCTCCCGCCACGGTCTCCACCACGAACTCGCGCCGCACGAAGTGCCCTCCCGCGCCAACATCGCAGCCTTACGCTCCATTGGCGTCCGCACGATCATTGCGTTTTCGGCGGTCGGGTCGCTGCGGGAGGAGATCAAACCGCGGGACTTTGTGGTGCCGGATCAGATTATTGATCGGACGAAGGGTGTGAGGCCGTTTACGTTCTTTGAGGGCGGGATGGTTGGGCATGTCGGGTTTGGGGATCCGTTTGATGAGGGGTTGGCGAGGGTGGTGAGGGTTTGTGGACATAGTTTGGAGGGCGAGGGGGTGGAATTGCATGATCGGGGGTTGCTTGTTTGTATGGGTTAGTGTTTCTGCTTCCTGGTTGTAAGGTGGAGGGAGAGGTCCGCGGTTGGACGCCTGCTGACGGATTGTATTCCAGAGGGACCTCAGTTTAGCACCCGCGCCGAGTCGAACCTCTACCGCAGCTGGGGCGGGAGCGTTATCAACATGTCCGCGCTGCCAGAAGCGAAGCTTGCCCGCGAAGCCGAGATCGGGTATCAGATGATATGCATGGCGACGGACTATGATTGCTGGCACACCTCCGAGGACGTCAATGTCGAGATGGTCATGGGCCATATGAAGGCGAATTCCGAGAACGCACGACGGTTTATTGGCGCTGTGCTGGATGAGCTGAGCAAGGAAGAGCATGGCGTTCTTGTGTTGGCGAAGCATCTAGATGGGCAAACGAAGTTTGCTGGAAGTATTACTGCGAAGGCTGGAAGGGCAAAGGGGGCCTCGGAGAAGCTGGATTGGCTCTTTCCTGGTTATTTCGATTGATTGCAGCGGCATAGATCAGACGTGCATAGATAGAGAGATACCCAGAATGAGGGAGTTAGATTGCGCGGCGAGAATCACTGGTGCTCCCCGTATCGCCAGATGGCACTGCGTCCTGGGTTCGGGAGCTGTGATCTTACATTGTCAAAGGCCTTGAATGTCGGCTTTCACACGGCCAGCTCCTCATCCAGTGCCTGCCAAATTGCCCGTTGTTCGTCCTTCCATTCCTCCTCCTGAGATATCGCCTCTCCATCCCCATTGACCACGTCCCTTGGTGCATTCGGACCATCATTCACCATTTCTTTTAGCAACCCGTCAATCGTCCCCTTCATCCTCCTCACCCCCTCCACCTGTGCCCTCGTTCTGTCAACCTGCTCCTCCATCATAAGGATCAACGTCTCCCGCGCCTGATGCGGCCGATACTGATTGATCAGGTGATGCGCATTGATGAACAACACTCTCAGATCCTGCGTCTTGTCCTCAAACTGGTCAGGGTTGATGGACAGGGTGCCGACTAGCTCAAGAAAGTTGAGCAGTATGGACTTGGCGATTCTTTTGAGGTAGAAGGCGCGGTCGAGGGTCCATTCCGAGGGGATAGTTGAGGGGTCGTCGTCGGGGCCGGACGGGTAGAGCTGGAGGTCGTTAAGGGAGGGGAGAGGGTCACTTAGCTGTAGGGACATCAGCTTTGCCAGCCAAGGAGGGGCCGAGCTGGCTTACGTCGTATTGACCACCAAAATTGCGCCATTTGCCGTCTGTGGATGGCTCAGGTGGTACAAGGAAACGAAGCTCTGGAGGGAGATCGAGTATGCGCTGGAGGCCCGATGTCGCTGGCTCTGAGGTTTCGGTAGTCGGACCATCCGCTTGCGCATTCTCCCGGAACTCCTTCAGTCGTGCGAGGTTGTCCGTAGTGAAGTGCCTGTAGAAGGGCGGTGGAACAGGAAAGATCGAGCCGATGCCTTCATCCTGTTCGTCTGCCATTGGTAATCGAAAGATGGGCGGATGTCATCCAAGGTCTGGCGTTGGAGAAGCTCGTGGAAGTTGGGCTTAGTATGGACGTGCCTATGTGGTTGTCAGGAAGGCATGCTGTGCGCACCTGGGCAATCGGACGGGAACCCGAGTTAGGTAGTTACAGTACCTAAGGTTCCCCAGTTGAAGGGCGGCGGGAGATCGTCGCGGGGCTGCGGGAGCTACAGTAGAGTACCTACAGTAGCATCTCTCAACAGCCCCCCCTGTGCGCCTTCAAGGTCCTTCCACTCCAAAGCTCGCCCCTTGTCCCTCAACGGCTGGGCAACGGACCTCTCCATCGACATGCCGTCCCAGTTGAAGATACTGCCTTTCTCGTAATATTCGTACAGGCTATGGCGGGCCCCTTATCACACCACCGGCGACTAAGTGGCATCGAACAGCAGCCGGGCTTCATGGGTGCTCTGGCGCGGTTCTGGCAGGTGAGCATACTCAGGATGCAGCACACATATCTGCTGACATGCTTCCTGAAAGCGCTCATATGCGTCAGATTACGTCGGTCTAGCTATGATCGCAGCAGCTTATGCACTGGTGCGTCCCTTCCGCCCCTCTACGCTCCACCATCCTCATGTTTCGTAGCTACGATTGTTCATGGATCCCTTTCACCGCATGTTCTCTTTGGACAACCTTGCAATACAATATCCTCATGCTGAGGTTGAGCGTGTGCCAGTCCGTAAGTCTCCAATGCGAGCTCGGCGAGGCCAGCAATATCCGGCTTACACATGCTATCAGCATTCCTTTTCGTCTACGCTGGCGCCATCCCATTGGCCCTCATCATCATATGGGCTCTCGTCCTTCGCCCAACTATCCACAAGGCTCACGTCACAGTCCTCGGGTTCATCATCAGCCTCATTCTTACATCCTTTCTCACCGACGTTGTGAAGAACAGCGTTGGCAGACCGCGGCCCGACCTCATTGCGCGGTGTAAGCCAGTACGTGCAAGGTAGAGATATCAAGCACCTATGTCACAGGACTAAGAGTATAGCAACAGGAACCCGGCACACCCGCCCACGCCCTTGTGACGTTCGAGATCTGCACTGAAACCGACCACCACGCCCTCCATGACGGCTGGCGCAGCTTCCCTTCTGGCCACAGTTCCTTCGCCTTTAGCGGTCTGGGCTATTTCGCCCTGTTTCTTGCGGGACAGCTCTTTGTTTTTCGACCAAGGACCGACCTCGCGCGGGCCTTACTGGCGTTTGCTCCTATGCTCGGCGCTGCGTTAATCGCCATCAGCCGGTGTGAGGATTATCGACATGACGTTTACGATGTCACGGCAGGTTCTTTTCTTGGCTTTGGCATCGCGCTATTCACGTATAGGCGGTATTACCCGCCGCTGAGACACCGACTCTGCGACACGCCGTATCCGAATCCTTCGGATGCCATAGGGGGCAGGCGGAAGGCGAGGGATGAGGAGGGCGGAATCCGTGATCCAGCGGACTTTGAAGTGGATGAAGATGATGAGGGGGAGAGTATTCCGCTGAACAATATAGATAGATAACAGTAACAAGTCAACATTGATCGTGACTCCTCTGTCCTCTCATGACCTACCTAGGTACCCAAAGCATAGCATAGCATCAACACGTGATCAGCTCGGCGCATTCTGCCTCGACCGTCATCCCGCCGAGCGGCGTCCGCGGCATGAATGCCCAGTCCGACCGTTGGAGTCAACCCCATCCCTCGTCCGTGCAAGTACCCGCTCTAGCACTTCCCCACCGCCCTCGTAACAATGTCGGACGAGGATGGCTTGACACGGTATGAGACACCGCCTGCTGTCGATGAGCAGAGCCCTCTTCTTAGCAAACACCTCCCAAATACGGGCAATGGCGCGGCAGAGCAGCAAGCGGACGATCAGGATGTCCACGGCACGCCGATTGCGAAAGAGCCAAGCACGAAGGAGCTGGTGATAACCCTATGCAGCATATGGGTTGGTGTATTTCTCGCAGCATTGGGTACCTTGAAATGCTTCCTTGGACAGTTCTGCGCATGCTGATGAACTCTAGATTCGACTGTAATCGCGACATTGTCCGCGCCTATATCCACCTCGTTCAACTCCTTTACACTCCTCTCCTGGCTAGCTTCCGCATACCTCATCGCCAATGCAGCTCTCCAGCCCCTCGCTGGACGATTGACGGATATCTTCTCCCGGCGCGCAGGGCTGATCTTCTCGAACATATTCTTCGCAGCAGGGAACCTTATATGCGGTCTCGCCAAAAGCGAATGGGTCATCATACTCGGGCGCATAGTTGCAGGAATGGGAGGTGGGGGGCTCTTCGCCATATCAACGTTCGTGGCATCCGACCTCGTACCCCTCCGTAAGCGCGGCCTATGGCAAGGCTTCGGCAACATCTGTTTCGGCCTGGGTAGCGGTCTTGGTGGAGTCTTTGGCGGCTGGATCAACGATGTTTGGGGTTGGCGCACGGCTTTTCTTGTCCAAGTGCCATTTGTCGTTGTCTCTGGGATTTTGGTCTGCTTTACTGTCCATATCCCGGTCAAGGAGAAGAATGTCTCTCGCATCAAGCGCGTAGACTTCCTTGGCGCTTTTACGCTCGTCGTCACTCTGGTTCTTCTCCTACTAGGGCTAAACTCAGGCGGCAACGTTGTGCCCTGGACGCATCCGCTGGTCCTCACGAGCCTGCCATTGTCCGCAGTCTTCCTACTCATCTTCATCTACGTCGAAGACAAGATAGCCAGTGAGCCCATCATCCCTGTCCGTCTGCTGCTCAACCGCACAGTAGCATCCGCCTGCCTGACCAACTGGTTCACCACCATGTCTGTTTTCGCCCTCCTCTACTACGGCCCCATATACTTCCAAGTCCGCGGCCTCTCCACCACGGGCGCCGGCGCGCGATTGATACCGCAATCTGTCGGGGCCGCTGTCGGATCGCTGGGCTCTGGCCTCATCATGCGAGCTACAGGACGGTATTGGCTCCTCAACGCCATCACTGAGGGCATCCTGGTACTGTCATTTGCGCTCGTAGCTGCGACGTTCGATCTCAATACCCCGGCCGTACCGCCATTCATCTACTTCTTCCTCGGCGGCCTGGGCTATGGGGGTATGCTGACGGTCACGTTACTGGCACTCATCTCGGCTGTCGACCACGAACACCAGGCTGTCATCACGTCGGCGTCTTACGCTTTCCGCTCTACGGGCTCTACAATCGGCATCACGATTGCGTCTGCGGTGTTCCAGAATGTGTTGAAGAGGGAGCTGTGGGAGCGTTTTGGAAGTAGGAAAGATGCGGCGGAGATCATCGGGAGGGTAAGGGATAGCCTTGACGAGGTGAAGCATTTGCCGCCGGAGTGGAAGCTGGGGGTGCTGGAGACGTACATGGATGCGCTGAGGGCGGTGTGGTGGACTATGCTTGGAATCAGCTTACTGGGCGCCTTGATCAGTCTACTGATGAGGGAGCATGTGTTGCATAAGAACTTGGCTAGGAGGTAGAGAATCGTTTAGTAAGAAGCAGATCCGTTGTCATCGATCGCCAGCGGTCTGATCGTCATGGGTGCCTGTATCTGAGTGTCTGAGTGCCTCAGTGCCTCAGTGCCTAGGTGCCTGAGTGTCTGGGTGCCTGAGTGCCTGAACGCCTGAGGGCGTTGCTGAGCCACAACGCGGGACGATCCGAGGCCCAGTGCACGGTCCGGTCCCTGCATGAGATGGAGCGTTGCAGCTCGCAGCGGAAAGCCGGTTTGACAGCCTTGACACTCCGCCCTCCGCAGCATTGCGCTGGCGCTTTTGCTGTGATATATGTTCCAATTGATATTCTCGTAATCAGGTCCAGCCGTGTATCGCGCGTGCATCGTGTCGCAGCAATGGCGGACACCGATGCCCCTGTCCCCGCTGCAAGCGTGCCAGCTCCGCGGCCGACGTCAACAACTGCGGCGGCGAAACGAGTGCCACTGGCTTCAGCTACCAAACCAGTATCACCATCCACAGCTCGCCCTGCCCTTGGAACTAGCATCAACAAGCCTCCTACTCGACCTTCGGTGACAGTCCGGAGATCAGGAACCGCAGCCACCAAAACAACTTCAGAAAATGAAGCCCAACCAGCGATACCGACTGACGGGACACAGAAGTCCCCTAGTGCCAATGGCGTCTCACGACGAATCTCCTCCATTGAGGCGGCGAAGCCGGCGTTTTCGAAGGTTATACCACGGACTTCTACTGCGCCTTCGACCACAGGCATTGTAAAGAGACCGGCGATGAGCTCGCGCACTAGTAGCAGAGAGAGCATGGCATCTAGCACAATAAGGCCACCCAGTAGCTCGAGAAGTACGAGAACCTCTCTCGCCCCTAGTAGTCGGCCCGCAGAGAACACAACCAGACCCGCCTCGAGAATATCCACGATGCCACCACCGCCGAAGCCAGCTTCAGCAGCTCTGCCGACCTCACTCTCAAGTCCGGAATCGAGGTATGATTTTTCCCTTGCCACTTAGGCGCCTCGCACTACTGACATAGCACGCAGCAAGAATGCAGCCTCCGTAGCTCCCTCAACACCCTCCAAACCAGACCTCCCCACAAGCCCTCCCAAACCCCTCGAGAAAGCGAGCCCAGCACGATCGACCGATCCCAAAAGCCCACCCAAGCTCACTTCAACCCCACGGAAGCTCTTCACTCACAGCACATCCAAGTCCGTTTCGACCCCTCGGAAGCTCCTAGTCGACACCGAACCCGACACTCCCGCAGCACCCCCCCTCAGCAAACCTACCGTCCCGCAACCCCAGCAAGTCCGCCGCCCGGTCACCGCGCCTAGCAAGCCTGCCAGCAAGGAAGACGAGGAGGCGAAGGCGCAGAAGAGCATGGAGGTAGTGCGGGAATTACTGAGGGAATCTACGGCAAGAGAAGCGCTCGAAGAGCAGATCCGAGACTTGCAGGCCGAGGTTGAATATTTCCAGAAACGGCGGCCATCAGTGGCAGCATCCGGAAAGGATGCAGAGAACAAGGCTGAGCTAGAGAAGCTCAAGGCCGAGCATGCTGCTGTCGTGGATCAGCTAGGAACGACACATGCGTCTGAATTGAGGGTTTTGCGGGACGAGCTGGCGAAGAGGGAGAAGGTTGATGCGGAGCTGGCTACGATCAAAATGCAGTTGGCTGAATCGCAGGCTAAGGCGCAGGCACTGGTCACGGCGCGGAAGACGGAGGTTGAAAAACTTAATGCGGAGATTGTGAAGATGAGAAGGCAGCTCTTTGAGACGGCTGAGGCGAAGGCTGCTGCGGTTGCGAAGCATGAGGCACAGTACGAGGAAATTAAGAAGCAGCTCGATGAATCGAAGAAGGCGGCGGTAGAAGCAGCTGCGAAGCAAGAAGTCGAGCTGAAGAAACGCGATGCTGATAGGGATGAGTTGACACGAACCGTGGATGACCTCAAGAAGGAGATCAACAAGGCTAAGTCCGAAGTATCTACGCGAACTAGGAAACAGGACGAGGAAAGGAAGACATCCGCCAAGAAAACCGATGGGCTTCAAGCAGAGCTCGAGGACCTTTGCCGGAAGGAGTCTGAGGCGCGTCGGACGAACGAAGATGCTGCAAAGAGATCTGAAAAGATCATTGACGATTTGCGGAAAGAGCTTGCAGAGGCGGTCAGAAAGGAAGACAAGCAGAAGGCGGACTTAATAAAGACAACCCAGGATCTGCAAGCCGAACTCGAGGAACTGCGTCGCAAAGATTCTGAGGGACGCCAGGCGACTGAGCGTGCGGCAATAGAGTCTGAAGAGACCATAAAGGGGCTTCGGGCAGAGCTTGCGGACGCACTACATAAGTCAGGCGAGCAGAAAGTGGGGCTAACGAAGACGACTCAGGATCTGCAAGCTGAGCTTGAGGAACTACGCCGCAAGGATACAGAGGGACGCCAAGCGACCGAAGACGCGGCCAAGAAGTATGAAGAGGTTGTGAACGGCCTCCGCGCGGAGCTTGAAGCCTTACGGAAGACAAGCTCGGAGGACCTGAAGCGGAGCGAGGCCGCCGCGAAGAGCGCTGCCGGGCTCGCTGACGATCTTACGACACAGTTGGAGAAGCTACAAGAGGGTCACGGAGTACAGATGCGACAAATGGAAGAGAAGACTGCAGAGTCGTCGAAACTTGTAGAGGATTTGCGAAACAAACTGAAGACCCTTTACCAGCAGCATATTGAAGAAACGCAACGTGCCGAAGACGCTGACGAGCGGTCGACAGAGACACTCGAAAGCTTGCGGAAAGAGATAGACGCGTTACGAGAAGCGAAAGCTGGTGAATTGCGTGCTAAGGAGGACGAGCTAGCGCAAAGCCGGAAGATTGTAGAGAGTCTTCAAGTTGACATCCAGAAGCTACAGAACGACGGAATAGACGGTAACAAAGTGGCCGAGGAACTGCGAAGCGAAGTCCAGAAGCTGCAGCAAGCGCAGGTCGCATCTACGCAACAAAAAGAAGAAGAAATCAAGAATCTGACCACCATCATCGAAGAACTCCGCTCAGAAACTCAAACCTTGACCGAACGAAATGTCCAGGCAAACCGTGAGAAGGATCAGGAAGTCAAGAGCTTGACCCTTGTTTTGGATAAGCTGCAGACGGAGAACGCTCAGCTCCAGCAGAAGAACACGGAATTTGAGAACGCAAAAGAAAAGGAGATCAAGAGCTTAGGCGAGACAATTGACAGGTTGAAGGCCGACGCTGAGCACCTACAGGAGCAGAGCGTACAACAGGAGAAGGCCAGCCAGGAAGAGCTCAAACGCGTTGATGTAGTTGCTGAGGGATTGCGAGCTGATCTTGAAAAGCAAAAGCGGGAAGCTTCCCAGTCCATAGGCGACCGGCAGTCGGAAATTTCTGACCTCAACAAGACGATCGAGAGTCTGCAGGACAAGATTAAAGGGATGGAGTCCGAGAGTGCTGCCAGGCGAGACGCGCTAAAACAGGTCAACCAAGTCGCCGATGGACTGCGAGCCGAGCTCCAAAAGCAGCAGCAGGAAGTTTCCCAGTCCATGGACCAACGACAATCCGAGATATCCAGCCTAAACCAAACGATCGAGGATTTGCACTCCAAGATCACTGCCCTAGAGTCCTCCAAAGCCGCCTCAGCGGAAGCCTTCCAGCAGCAAATCAAAGACCTAAAGACCGCCATACAAGCCCTCAAAGGCGATCTAGCCGCCGCCCAGCAACGCGAAGCCGACATCACCGACGACTTGAGGGACAAGGATAAGGTGATCCAAGACCTGTACGCTCAGATCAAGGCCGCTGAGCAAGAGAACACTGAGGCAAGCCGCAAACAGCTAGCTGATGCTGATGAGGCGCTGAAACGTGTCACAGCTAGCTACGAGGATCGGCTAGAGCGGGCGAGCCAGTGGCAGGCTGAAGCTACAGAGAAGGATAGGCAGGTTCAAGAGTTGCGAGAGGAAGTCGAAAAGCTCAAGGTTGATGCGGTCGAAGAGGGCAAGAAGCGGGACGTCGATATCACGGCCGACCTCGAGCGAACCATCGAGAGTCTCCGGGACGAGCTTGAGCTGGCACGACAACGCGAGGCCGAGGCTGCTGAAGCAGGTTTGAAGCTGCAGGCAGACACTGAAAGCTTCCAGTGCACCGTCGAGAATCTTAGAACTCAGCTGGCATATTCTAAGAATGAGCATGCAAGGGTAAAAGAGGAGCTCCAAGCCAAGTTCAGCAGTGTTGAAGAAGCACAAGTCAAAGCGATCCAGGAGCTGAAATCTTTTCATGTCGAAGCTTTAAAAGCGCAAGCTGATCAATTTGAGACTCGTCTCAATGAGAGCAGCAGTAAGCACACATCGCATTCAAACGCTCTTCAGGAGCTGCAGAAGAACCACGATGCGATGATCTCCGAGCACTCCAACGCCATCGCAGAGCTCAAAAAGACTCACAAAGCCGCCCTCGCCGAGCGCGACGCCGCGGACTCGAAAACAGCGGCAGACCTCAACAGCCGCGCCATCCCCCCCGAAGCCACTTCGAACGAAGAAAGCGATAGGATCGTAGCTTCGCTCAAAGCTGAGCTCGCAGGCTCCAAAGCCGCCCTCACGTCTCTACAATCCGAGCTCGAAGAAGCCCGCGCTGATATCAGGACGCTTGAGGACGTGAATGAGGAACTCTTTGAGGGGCAGGATCGCTTACATGAAAAGCTTAAGGACGCTCGACAGGAGAAGGAGGAGAGTGCGAGGGGATTGGAGAGGGTGAAAGCAAGCCGGCATACAGACGCAAAGTCCGATGCTAGACGTACCATGTCGCCGCCACTCGGCGGCACAACGCTCAACGGCGATTTTGCTCCTAGCAAGTGGGCGACTTCGGCATTGAAGGAGGTGATGGATGGCGCCGATGCGCAGGCTACGTCTGGCGCGGAGACGGAGCCGATGACGGGGAGGTTGCAAAATGGGTTTTCGCTCGAAGGCACTGTAAGTATTCCCCCTCTGTCTACTCTACTTTCAAACCCTTCTTTGATAGGAGTGTTGCGTCGGCACAAGTCGTTCGGGCGCTTTCAAAGCAACATGCGCTGACCCGCATCCATCGCAGCTAGCATCGCTACGCGAACAGACACGGCAGCTTGCGGAACTGAACGATGATTATTTGAAGGAGAACACGAGGTAGGTGATCCCACTGCCGCTGATTTGCTGTATGCGAGGAAGCTAACGTCAGCTGTGCCAGGATGACCAAGTTGGTCGCCGATATGGATGATGCTTTGCCCGGCGATGGCGCGTTGGGGGTCTGTGCATGAAGCTATATTCTTTGGGATATATGTCGAACCTCTAGTTGCCTTGGCGATTGCATGATGGGTGGAATGGGTGCGTAAAGGGATTTTCTTGATATACACAATAGTATTGCCGTTGGGCTTCAATCTTGGTCCTGATGTCGAAAAAAGGCATCGCATCCTGTACGAGCTGAAACTGGTAATTTTGGGCTATTGGTCGTAACTTTTGGGATGTTCTCAGTGCTAAGGATCGAGGTTGTATAAGAAGTGGGCACCTAGGCGTTATCTATCACTTCGAGGTTCTCTGAGTACAAGTCTGCACCAAAGGCGGATGAATCATGGAAGTTCGAGCACTCATTCGATTGCACAAAAAGTCTTGACTATAACCCCGTTTGATCGTGTTGTCTCAGTGGGTCTGGCTTCTCCGGATAGAATCGAATACCTTCGTAGTCCAGTCAGCGCATAACGAATACTTCTGTACAGGTGTTTCACGGGTCGGCGTCTGGTCAAACTACCTTTAATTGATTGCAAACGATGCTCCAGTGCCCACTCCTAGGCATAGCGCGCAAACACCTATCAGCTTAGTGCAAGGATCACCGAAAAGTCCGTTGCCGCATCTATGCTCCGGCTTCTTTAGTACAAATTCACGATCAAACCGAATTTATGATCCAATTAATCGTAGAACCGCTAAATAGTTCTATACTATGGAAAGCAAAAGATGCTAAGCAATCTAGCTCTTTACTGCACCGATCACCCAAGGTATCTTTGATCTATAGGCCGTGTACTTTGGCTATCCACCTTCAAGGCCATGAGTACCTTTCCATGCGGCAAAGGACTTTTTAGATACCCTCTGACCGTTCCGTTGGTGCGAGGCGCGTACGTGAATGACAGAAATTGCCAGTCGTCGGACTCTCAATACCGTCTCAAATCAGCAAAATTTATTCAATTCAGCACGATCCTAAAGATCCTGTACTCCGGCCGTTCCACCCCCAGTCATAGCTTGAAAGTTGATATACGCTGCCTTACGCCCGAAAACATGCCTGCTACATTGGTATGCCCAGTGGTGGTAGTTTCTTGTTTTTGGAGTCCGGCGATGTTCGTTGTCGGTGTGGCGCCGTGTCAAAAGTTATGGCTAATCCAAGCGCCTCTCACCACCACGGCTCTAGTTGACGATGCACATCTTTTCCACCCGCCACGCATAAGCCTAATCAAAACCTTATGCACCTGAACTTGGCAAAGGCAGAGAGACTATGCATTGTTTGGTATGATTCTAGCATAGACTGGTGCGTATAGCACTTGCTATGTTAATAGATTCTGTAGTCAAGTGCAAGCTTTTCCGCGATTCGCGACGTTAACACCTTAAACGACGTGCAAACAAAGGCTTCCGGAAGCATCTTCAAGCGTCCTGACTACTGGTGATTAATCGAAGTTCAATTGCTGTATCGCAACCTCCTTTGTTGCCAGCTCTTTGTTTGTCCCCACCCACCTTCTCTGGAGCAATCGTTCGTGAATCAGAATGCATCACCGCAATGCTGTTGGTTTCTGCTAGAACTGCTATCGTTTCTTCATGTCCCTGAGTCAGGTCTCGTCCTCACCATGTCCAGCTCGGTGCACCATGCATTTTCGGTGATAGAGTTGGTGGCGCTGATACTGCTCCAACTGCCGTTGATCGATCTCTTCCGAGTGCAACGAGTCTGCTCTAGGTGGCGTAACATCGTCCAGACCTTCAGAAGCATCCAGCAAGTACTTTTTCTGCGTGGCCTTAACCGATATGCCCGTCCGTCTGCCGCCTATACCAGCATCCACAAGCTCCAGGGCTGGTTCCACAAGAGCGGCCAAAGCAGCGTCATCTATGCCATCAATCCCTTGATAAAGCGTCAAGGCTGGTCCTGCGACCACAGGGATGGCGAAACCGAAGTGCGATTACACCAGCAGCACTGGTTCCTGAACCGTCGTTCCTATGACCGTCCGAACGCCTCGTGGCGCGGTATGTTCGTTACACAGCCTCCGACAAAGAGACTGAAGCTCTACCGAGTCTTTCGCGGTGGCATGTTCTACGGTGTAAGAGGGAACGAGATGCGGCATAGCGAGGAGTTCGTAGATGAGGGAGGGATCACCCTGGGGTTTCTGGCGGAGAAGCTCGAGGAACTGGTCTGGAAGCCGGTGCGGGCGCAGGAGGTCGAGCGGAAGACGTTGTCTGCGCGGGAGATTCGAGCGCGGTTGGAGGGATATCTGGACTTTGAGGATTGGGCTTACATTGGATTTGTGGAGTGAGTAGGTCGCCGCGAGTTCAAGCGCCAGGCAATGTACCAGAAGTATTGAGACACTTTTTGGTGAGACGACCTGCTAAGAGTGTCTCCCGACTTTTGGTACGTCGCCTGGCACGTGACATTCATGGTCAGGAATGGAGCCAGGACACTCGGCGTCGTCTGTGACCCTATCATATTTGAGATCGTAGCACGAAGGACCTCGTGATTAACACGATGAGACAACTCTCTATCATTACCATCGTGGCGCGGGAGAGATAGCTTACATGCTGTATTGCTATCCAGGTCATATAATCATATGAGCGGCGAGTGTTGATGAGTAAATGCCTGTCCGACTCACTTGTGTGCTTACGCCTACCTGCCGGCTTTCGTCCCATGTCATTCCCACTCGAATGGGTATTGAACATGACTGGACCTCTATACGGTGTGTCATACAGAGAGAAGGCTTGGACAGCTACATATGCCGGTATATGGGGAATGTACAGCCTGTTGAAAAGCAAAAGTGCGAACGCGCTAATGCCTTCGCAGTATCCAATATTTGAGAGTCAACACAGCCATAGGACGAGTGTCTCGAAGCAACAAGTATCTGACATCTTGAAGGGGGCTGCCGGTGAGACTGTTGACGGCGCTCTTGCTTTACCCGTTTCCAAAGAAGATTGCTTGTATACCAATCGATCCTAGTGAATGAAGAGGTCCTGCTCGAGTAGACAAGCGTATGACTGCGTTGACAGCTGCTCTATGGAGTAGGGACTGTTGTCGAGCCGCAGCCGATGCCTTGCCGAAGTGGCCGACTCAGTAGATATTGTTGGCTTATGAGAAGTGCGAAGGATGATTGCCCGCCAGCTTGAGCCTAAGGCGCTACAGGCAAAGGCATGCGAGAATGTCTATCGCGCCTGGGTTCTTAGCTGTTGTGTGTAGATTGGATTCCATGCACCTCATCGCCCGCATGTTACATCGGTCATACAAGACTTCTGAGTTTAGGACTGCAGGGAGATACCTGAAATGGTAACAGTCTTAAACAAAACATCTTGGAAAACTCTCTACTACATCGTCTTTGGTGACGCCGTCATATTGAACGTTCTCCTACGTGTGGCGTCCCAGCGTCAGTGTTCCCTCTCTCGCCTCTCCACTACAAGTCCTTGATTCGCCGGAAGCCGAAAGCCATGAGTCGCTGAGATTCGTCCAAGCAGTGAGCAACGAAAGTGTATCGTATCTTCAGCGCCAAATTTCCACTCTCGAATTCTCGTCCTGTGACTTGCGGATCGCATATCCTTCGGTATGTTATCTTACAGTTCCCGGAGCAGACGTCTCAACCTCCTTTCAATATGAAAGAAATCCCTATGATCCTGCTCCAACCCTCCCTTTCGTACGAGGGCTTGAACTCATGTCTGTCGTAACTACAACGACCACAAAGCTAACTGAAACGTAGAGCCGGAATGGAGCACCGCAACCCCGAGACCAGAGTCTGCTTCCGATGCCATAAACCGGGCCACATCAAGGCCAACTGCACAGCACCTCTACCGCCGCCGCTGCCGCCGCTGCAGCTACCACCTTTACCTACAGCTCTGTTGGCCAATGACAGTGCAACGTTCCTGGCCCGCGTTACGGATGCCGCTCTTGCCAGATACAACAACGGTGAGGGCAACATCAGTAACGTTGTGGCCGCGATACAGGCGGCTCTAGCCTGTTCGAGCCCACGCAGAGATCCAGGACGGCGTGTTACGAAGGTAAGCTGTTGACGCCTCTCCACTCGTTCTCCGACTCATTCACATGGTCACTTGAGCTTTACATGGATGTAAATTAACAGTCTACTGTCAGGCTAGCGAATACCCAACGGCTGGCAGAAGAGGAGGTCGCAATCGAGGAAGGAGAAAGGAAAAGAAGGGCAGGAAGGCTGACGGGAAGGGTGGCGATCGGACTGGGGAGGAGAGAGAGTCACTGGATGGGCGTATAGGGTCGACGGAGAAGGAGGTAAAGGGGAAGAAACGGCTGGATGTTCAGCTCGATGGCAAAGAGGCCGCGCTTTAGGAATAAGGAAACGCCTCTGGAGATGTCAGAGTTCGTGATGCCGCTTCGAACCAGTACCGAGGGAACTGACACGTTCTGCCCTGCGTCGGGCTGATCCGTGCGGAGCCTTGCTGCCAAACTCATATAGCTTACATATACCATGAACCTGCATATCTCTGTATGCCATCAATTAGTATCGGAAGTTTGTATTATTGACCCGGTGCTTGTCGTTCGGCGGCGTTTGTGGTCGAGTTACTCTGTCATTGCATACGTAGCAGCGCTCTCGTGAATATAGCCTATGTACGGGTGCTGCTGGAGGCTCTAAGGGAGTGACACGGGATGTCGATCACGAATGGGCAACGTTGGAGCAACGTTGGAGCAACGCTTAGTGACCCGACTAGCATAGCAGTTGGATTGCAGGTCCGATTTCCTGCAGTTGCTCTGCTTTACACTAACAATTGCCATTGACTGCACCAACGCTCTCGGCCGCACTGACGCGGTATATCAGTGTGACCACTTTGATGACTGCACCTCATGACAGTGACTTCTTGCTATCTGCGCGTCCCGAAGCCCACCCAGTGGGAGACTTTTGGTCCTTGAGGCTGTCGTCTCGTATCGTCGAAATTTGAGGTTGGTGTCGTGCCAAGGCATTATTTGCTCCCGTTCTCGAAAGACCAAGGTTCCATGTCAACCTACTACATACCTAGGTAACCACTCTTCCAACTCCTCCTTGCAGTCGAGCAGCGAGAGTTTACGTTGGAAGCCTCCGCTTCTACATCAGCCTGTGTCGGCATCCACTGGGGCTGATGAATACTTGGGACGAGGACCTTGGCTTTGTGCAAGTCCTGCTTTAGGCCATTCGCACACTGTACTGAATCCACCAGCAGAATGAGCTTGCATTGAGCGTGTAAACGTTGTCTTCTACTGGTCTCCGCTGCGGATCTCAACAGTACACCCTGCGATTGTTCGCCTGTAGATTGAAGCGGTCCCGGTACTCCTCCAGGAGTCTTCGAGACACACTGTCAAGCCAGGGCCCAACACACATCTTCTGATACGCTCTGTTACGGAGTTGAGAAGCCATGGTAGCAAGATTTTATTGTGGAAGTCACTCCATTATTGGCGCGTGTAGTGTTACATTGTATATTGTAAAGTCCGCCTCCAGATCCACAGAGAGCTCGACATCTGCATCCCGGTATACAAAGATCCCCGAGTGATGAAGCCCATCCCTACGGATCTGGTGGAGTATATGGGCCAACAAGACTGCCAGCATCTTCTCCGTCTAGGGCGGCGTGATCTATTGAGAGCGCACGTCGACTTCCGCCATACGGAAGAGGACCGAATTCTGCCCAGCGCAGTCACCGTGCGTGGGATGCTTTGCCTTCAAAGTACGCTGCAGTTCCGCCGTGGAGGGGTCCCTCGACGGCCTCTTGCCCGTCTTGTGGAGACGATGAGTCCAGGAGGCGGCGCATTTTCCTGTTGGCGGTGAGCAGCTTGGATGCCTGATCGCTAGAGAGTGGTAAGTAGGCCTGAGTAGCTCCATACTGTGACCAAAGAGTCCTTTAGCCTGCACTTCTCCTCTTTCTGGGAACTCCAAGGAAAGCGGCACTGTTCACCGGACTCCGAACTCAATAGCAGGGATGTCCAGGTGAGGTAGCGCTTCGTGGCACGCTTAGAAGAACAACCGCACTGGCGGCGCGAGACCTACGCGAGCACGCAAACGAGTTGTACGCTGTGAACGCGCTGCATCTGATTGCGCGAGCGAGAGATGCTTTGACTAGGCTACGGATGACTCGATGTTGGATCATCCAAGAGACGCCAAGACTGATATTGACATTCTCCTTTGTTCAGCCACAAAACTTGCAACCATCGGATTTAGCAATCTTTGAGTCCAGTTCCAATGTCACTTCATTCTCATTTCTGTACCAAACCTTGCTAGCCGCCGCTGAGTTTACGCACAGCCATCTCGGGTCCGGAATGTTCCAAGGCAGCTGCTCACAACACTTGCCCGCCTCGGAAACTCATCTGTGCGGGGGACGCGCCGTCACCCATATGGTTTTGTCTTACGGTGTCGTCCTAAACATCGATCAGCGAGTGTCTGTCAATGGGAAGCACTGACAAGCGAGTAATTGGACGTAGTTACGCTTGGCTTCGACGCCGAATCTTATCGACACCTGGCCGCCAGCCTTCAGTCGATCGTGGTTGTTCTTCAGGGACCCGAATTCCTATTCGCAGTCGACCATCATACAGCCAGCTCGGCAGCTGGCTAGCCAATTCAACCACGACGACACCTCGGCCCCAGTCGTTCATGTTTACGAAGATAACCAGCACAATCCGATCTCGCGCCGTAATCCGCTACAACTCCTCGCTCTGTAGAAACGCCCCTGGTTCTAGGCGTCCTCTGAAGCGCCGACAGACTCGAAGGACTTAGACAAGGAACATCCGGTGATTATTGACCGATTTCATACGCCTGTCTCAGCCTGTTGACGATTTTTACACCCATCTGAGTGCCTCGGTAGTGTTAAGGAGGATGGCCATTTTGAGACTGCGGAATTTCTCCTCGATAATCAACCCTTTCACGTATATTGGTCGGTCAGAAGGTTCAGGGCATTGGCTTATGAGAACTCGGCCTTTTCATGATCCCCAGCCAGGTTACTCCGGTTGTTAAGGGATGCACAAAGCGCACTGAACATCCCGGCCACGGAAGTTTCTAAAGGGCATGCTTCATCAGCATAACTGAGACACGAGAAATGGGATCGAATGCATATCGTACACATCGAATCCTTCGAATCAAACGATGGAGCTTGTGCGGGACAACTGCTCCACATCAGCGAGGACGCCTGGGGGACTGTTGAGATTGAGCAGGTGTGCGTACCGGCTTCATTTCAAGAATTCTGGTGCTGCCGCGTTGAAGTCATTGTTAGGAAGGTAAAGCTTCCGCCTTGAGCCTCTTGCTTGAAGCCATTCGGCTTCCAACACCTACTTGGATGCAACAAATGATCAGCGGACGATCTCCAGTAGGACCAAGTGCCCATTTGGCGCGGAAACGCACGCGCTATTCAGCTAAGGGATGCTCGGACTGCTTGGATCCATCCAAAAAGAAGGCGCACCCCGGCCTGCGCCTCGACATCTGTGTCTATCACGTTTTTGCGCCCAAGCCATCTCCGCAACTTGGGGAATGATCACCTAGGGTCCCCAATCCGGCCACCTGCGCCAGCCGTGGCCAGCAAGAGTGTAGTCACTTTAGTCTTCTAAGGTTCCGGTCATGCAGTTTGAGTCCGTTTTAATGACTGTTGGTCTCTCGGCATTCCTCTTCCTGCCGTTTCTGGGGGCGCCACAGAAGACGTTCTTAGCGTCGGGTGATACTGCCACGGAGCATTTCGAGGACATCAGCTCAACGCGTCCCTCCCGCAAGAGTCTCATTGGATAGTCTCTAAGACTCTATACTCTTTTTCTTCTTTACTGCCATCTCTTGAGGATTCCGGGGTGTGTAAGCTGCTGGAACTGTGTTGAAGCCATATCAAGCTGTCTGGAAACTCTTCTCCACCTGGGTTGCTATGCACCAACCGTCTTGGGGCACGGGTTTCCCGATATGTCTTGTTACATTCTCACCGTCAGGGTGGTGCTGGTCTCCTAGTCGCTGCGCTATGGCTACCCTCTCCGCTTGTAGCATCCTTTGTTGCCCTGACACGGTTGTCCCATGCCCCTCGTGCGAGAAGGGCTTCACGCTGCTACTGGTCGTCTAGTGTTGCGTTACCGGATGGGAGAGCCCGTGTCAAGATATCTGTGGTGAGTGTGCCCAAGAAGTGCCGTCGCTCTCGTTGACGGTAGTCCTCATATCAAAAGACTTTCTTCAACCGCATGTACAGATGAGGAAGAGCTCCGTGGTTGTCACGAACGGCCTACAGAATATCAGTTGGTATATCCAGCTGTGGTTGTAGTATGTGAGGAACCAGTGCCTTTGTCCTGCGCTGAGTTCTAGTAGTTTTGACATCGTCAAAGGGAGTCTGCAGTCCCTGCAGAGGCGCCATAGAATGCTTCAATAACCTTAAGAAGGAGCACCTGCTGGACCATTGGGGATAAGCGCTTTGTATGAGCTATCGCCGCAGGCGTGCATATTGTTGCTGTGCTGGATGGGCAGCCAGGTCTTGGCATTGACGATGTGGTCAAGATGTAGGCGATATGTTTTCATCCTTGCAACGCACACCAACATCCAGCGGAGTTGAAGAGACAATCAAGAATCTCGAACATCGTAAGGCAAAATCAATTTGGAATGTAGGATCAATTCTTCTCATTGTCAAGCACCGGCGGGTCCTTTCGAACAGGGTTGGATCTATTGTCTTTCCACTTCAGGACGAGGGTCAAACACAGTAACAGTTACAGGCTCGGAATCGTAACAGCATCAACTATCTGGCTATGCTTCAGCGGCACCACTGGTCCACTGGTATCAATCGTACCGTTCAGGGACTTTACAGAAGCGGCCGTGCCGCCTCCCTGAGCCGGTTTCTCATCTACGTCAACTCACTCAAGTTTCTTATCAATGACCACGTTGATCTTCCCGTACTGCTCAGCAACAATTCAACGGTGCTTGTGGTATCTGCCGGAGGCCTCTGCCGCTAGCCGAAGCAGCATGAGACCTTGCCGACGCCGAGATCAGTACCGATCTATTTGCAACATCACGCTCACCAACGGCTGATCGGTCTCGTAGCAATAGAAACAAGTTTCGCTGTCAAGGACACAAACATCATCCCGTTTCGATATTGGTTATGTTTCAGAAGCAATTTCAAGAGATCGAGCTGTTCTTCCTTCCAACGGCGAGACTTGGACAGTGACATCGACAAGATACCATGGCCTTTTTGGGACCTCATCATAACATCTCTTCATCTTCGATATTTGCAACAACCGCTTTACGGCAAGATATTTCAGCTGGCGGGAACCCCCAAGCTAACACTCTGACCATATAGGGGCAACATTGTCCCCCGCGCTGCCGTCTCCACCACCACCACCGAGCCCGACCCGCCCATCGCGCCCTTCGGAGAACAGTAAGTGACGACACTTTCAAGCCCTACCCAGCGCAGAATGGGCGAGCGCTGAAAGTCTACGGATAGCACGGCGTGGTTTTCTATCGTCGGCGGTGCCCCCATCCCCGCCCGTGATCCCCGCGCGATGAGGTGGTTGGGAGAGGCGGTGGGCGGGGAGGAGATTGAAGGAGAGACGGAGGGTGCGGTGGTGGGCGGGGCAAGTCTCTAAACGCAGATGATTGTAGCATATCACTGAATTCAAGCAGTTACCGGAGGCGGAGTTCCCGGTCGGAGAGGAGGTGTAGGAGGCGGTGGTGGGGCTGAGTAGGCTCTAAATTCGGATGATTTTGGCATATCACTAACTTCATCCAGGTGCTTGAGCCCAGCATTGCGGCTGGGTCTCTGCAGCATAGCATGGAGTTCGGGGCCGGCGCGCCTACTTATGAGGTCGCTTGTCTTCGTCGTGGTCGCGAATCTTCTTCTCGCTGCTGATTGCATGCTTGTATGACTTTTGCCAACATGATAAAGCCCTTTCGACGTCCGAAACTAACATTTTGACGATATCTAACAAGCCAACGCGGGAGCATGGACTTCATATCCGTTTCCAGGCAGTCTTCTGCCATTCCTAGGACGAAGGTCAGGCGTTTGATGAAGGCTGAAGCTTAGTACTGCTGAGCGCCTTTATACATCGAATATCTACAATCAAGCAGAGAGAGTTCCAACCTGCTCCTAGAGACGATCGCTCAAAGTAGCTGAGCAACGCAGAAGATGCTGAATGCCATACAATCTTGCACGTGAAAGATGTTGAGATGTTGAGGTTCATCAAATATTGTAAACAGCCTGGCTCGGTCACGTGCTGGGCCTCTGGGCCTCTGAGTTCCTATCGATACGACCGTGACGCACTTGCCGACTTGTGGTTGCGAGCCGGATGACCCCGCTGTCAGCCATCTGCCACGATACTAAACAGCTTATCATTCGTGGACAAACAGTTTCGGAGGAACTACTGATGTCCTTCTACCCTCATCTACAGCACGTGTAGGAGTACAATCGGCTCAAGCCGGGTGTAATGCAGGGTAAATCTGTACACATGAGCTCCCGGTTCCCGGGCCAAAACCACCAAGAGTGACAAGAGCCCCGTTGCAGGACGGAGGAGCGCGCGAGATCATTGGGTCAGACACGCCCAGCCTCAAGCTGGAGAAAGCTCCCGTTGGCAGTGGCATGCGCGGGCGGGTGTGACTGGCTGACAGCTCACTTCCCCGCAGAGTACAAAGGTACAAGCAGGCATGCCGGAAGAGGAGGTCTGGCACCCCTTCAAGAGGAGGTGCGGCTGCTCCTCACGATCGGCGACCTCGCAGCTTTGTACAAGTACCTCGAGATTTTCCAGGGTATCGCGTTGAGCAGACCAGGCGTTTCTATTGCCTGCTCGCTGCGTCGCGCATTCCACTTCAGATACCGATCTCGCATCCGTTGAGCACGGTGAGGCACCAATTGGGGCTTGGCGACCCCGGCTTCGCAGGTAGGCAAGCTCTCACAATCTCACTTACCTGAGTCCGGGTACCTTCGGGATGGTGGTATTGGACCTCTCCGATATTCTCGGAGACGTGTCTCTCAGGTCCGGGACTATAAGTCGCGGCATCCCCCAAGTCTGCCAGCTTGCTGGTGGAACTGTCTGCGAGCCTGCCAACTGTCAGCAGCCATACTAATCGCGGATCAAGCGGTAGTAACACCTATTATCACACTGTTTCCAACACGAGCTCGGATACTGTTTTCCGTCTCCGCCCCGTCTTCCTCTTGCCTTCGCCGACCTCACCTAACCCTCCCTAAGCTATGTCCGCCGGCTCGTCCGCAGTCGAAGCTATGGCGAGAAAGTCCGAAGGAGCGCTGAGCGCTGCAAAAGACACTTTGGCGGACGCACCCGCCGTCATGAAGTCCGCTGCCGAGAACCCGAAGCAAGCCACAAATGACTTCCTACACACACCCTTCATGCGAGGCGCACTGCCCTTCATCAACGGCGGCCTAGCAGGCATGACTGCCACGACCGTCATACAGCCCATCGACATGATAAAGGTGCGGCTGCAGCTAGCCGGCGAGGGCGTCAAGACTGGTCCGAAGCCGACGCCAATCACCGTAACGCGGGAGATATTGGCGTCGGGAAAAGCGTTGGATCTGTATACCGGGCTTTCGGCGGGCTTGCTCCGCCAGGCCGTCTACACGACTGCGCGCTTGGGCTTCTTTGACACGTTCATGAACAGTCTGGCGGCAAGGTCGAAGGAGAAAGGAACCACTGTCGGCTTCAAAGAGCGGGCCGGCGCGGGACTAGCGGCAGGCGGCTTGGCGGCCATGGTGGGAAACCCGGCGGATCTCGCACTCATCCGCATGCAGAGCGACGGCCTCAAGCCGAAGGAGGCGCGTGCGAACTACAGGTCCGTCATTGATGCGCTGATGCGCATTTCCAAGACCGAAGGCGTTGCGGCGCTTTGGTCGGGCGCCTATCCGACGATTGTGCGAGCCATGGCATTGAACTTCGGACAGCTTGCGTTCTTCAGCGAAGCGAAGAACCAACTGAAGGGTTCGTCCATGTCGTCGAGGAGCCAGACATTGACTGCGTCTGCCATCGCGGGCTTCTTCGCGAGTTTCTTCAGCTTGCCATTCGATTTCGTCAAGACGAGACTGCAGAAGCAGACAAGAGCGCCCGATGGATCTCTGCCGTACAAGGGAATGTTTGACTGTTTTAGGAAGGTCGCGAAAGACGAGGGTCTTTTGAGGTTCTATCGTGGGTTCTCTACCTACTACGTTAGAATTGCTCCGCATGCGTAAGTCTTGATCCTCACCCGGTGATCCTCGTTACCTCTGCTCTATAGGCGAGCGTCTTGAGGAGAACAAGAGCAGGTTTGCTGACTCCCCGTTCTTAATAGGATGGTGACGCTCATCGTTGCCGATTACCTTGGCTTCCTGACCAAGTGATTACCTGCCATAGCATTGTCACAGTTCTGTTGACGCTTCCGTCCTTTGCTCCGAATCGGGGTTTCTAGCAGGGTCCAGCCATTTGATGCGTGTTTGTTGGAGGATTCGTTGGTGGCATGTTCTTGAATATCCTTCGAAGGTCAATGTGGCGACATCGCACTGCGTTTTTCGTGGCCTCAGGCGCCTTTTGAATGGCTTACTTGGGTTATCTGGCGTTTGAGACTCGTCCATATCTTACGGTGGAACAGTCGATTACGAATGTCAGATACCTCAAGATATAAACCCGCGATATATACAAAAATACATGAACTTTTGTAGAAAACCCTGTCACGAAGATGGCAGTAGCTTGATGGCCTATGCGGTTTAGTGCGCTCCGGTTCAGCGGAGTGGCGCGACCTTTCCGAATCTGCATCCATCATGGATCCAGCTACATTCGTCGACCCAAACCTTACACGGCCAGACCTGCTTGTGCTGAAGAACCTGTTGCAAGATGTGGAGCGGATCGAAACCACTGCGAAGCGACTAGGAGCCAATGGAGTCGACTCAGGGTATACCAGCGCTGTAGAAGAGATTTCTGTCTCGAAAGGAGTTCAGGATGCCGAGCCTCATCATGGTAAAGATATTCCCTAGAGCACCGATTGTATTGTAAACTCACACATACAAGACTCCGTTGCACCACTCAATGCCTCTCTTCCTAATGACGAGAAGATCATTGAGGCTATTGAAGCCCTGAATGATCCGATGCACGAAGACTTCGACCCGACAGTCTTCGTGACATGGGATCTGAAAGATATCAAACTGCCCCCGGTGCTTGATCGATATGTGCTGCGGCCGTACATCACCTGGGCGCGAACGGTCGTCCGTAAAGAGACCGATGTTGTTATGTTGACGCATCTAATACTCTACTTCACGACGTCCGTCCCAAGCGCACTCTTTCTCTACTATCGTTTCTCCTGGCTGCATGGTGTATTGCATTGCCTAATGCAGGGATGGTATGTCGGCACCTATACCCTCATGAGGCATCAGCACATTCATATGAATGGAATCCTATCGCCAAGGTATGTATGGCTGGACTCGACTTTCGCATACGTTCTCGATCCGTTGATGGGACATACCTGGAATACGTACTACTATCACCACGTCAAGCATCACCATGTCGAAGCCAACGGCCCGGATGATCTCTCTTCCACTCTCCGGTACCAACGGGATGATCTGCTGAATTTTCTGCACTACGTCGGCCGCTTCTTCTTCTTCGTCTGGCTGGATCTGCCTCTGTATTTCCTCCGTAAGGGGAACCCGTCCATGGCGTTGAAAGCAGGGAGTGGCGAAATGGCCAATCTTCTGGCCATGTACCTGCTGGCGACTTACCTCAACCTCCGAGCGACAGTATTTGTGCTGATAGTACCCCTCTTACTACTCCGGATAGGTCTGATGGTGGGGAACTGGGGTCAGCATGCATTTGTCGATGATGTTGACCCGGACTCGGACTTCCGATCAAGCATTACTTTGATTGATGTCGCTGTAAGTTACTCTGCAAATCAACTCTCAGCACCCTGGAGTTAACGCATGATGCGCAGAGCAACCGTTTCTGCTACAACGACGGTTACCACACCTCGCACCACCTCAATCCGCGCAGGCACTGGCGAGAACACCCTATTGCTTTCCTTAAGCAGAAAGACCGGTACGCCCGGGAGCAGGCGCTTGTCTTCCGCAACATCGACTACATTATGATCACCATCAAGCTGCTGCGGAAGGACTATATGCATCTTGCCAAGTGCCTTGTGCCTATTGGAGATCAGGTTGGGATGAGCTTGGAGGAGATTGCGGGGATGTTGAGGACCAAGACAACGAAGTTTACGGAGGAGGGTATTAAGGAGAAGTTTGGGAAGAAGTAGGGGTGGGCTTGCTTGGTGCTATACATGAAGCTTGGAAGGTCGTTAGGGTGGGGGTCGGGTCTTGAAGCGCTCTTTGATCGGGTCAAATTGTAAGAGTGCTGAATACTCACCATAGGCGGATGCCAAGGTACCTTCGTTCTCGGGAAGCGAGGTTTCATAGAGGTAGCGACTATGGAGACCTTCCGTTACTGCTTGGACTATGATATCTCTTGAACCACATCATCTCGTGATCTACTCAGATGAAGTTATGAGTTGCTATAACGCTACCTAGATAACGTATGAATGTCCGCACACTATGAGGCTTCTCCAGGGTAAGCAAAACATGCGGTAGCATCCCAGCGCAAGGAATGTTTTCTACAGAGCAGGCAAAATCTGTGGTCATTCAGTCATCTCATCCTCCGGACTCCCCAGATCAAGAATTGTAGCCGTGCTCCGTGGCGGTACTCCGCTTCCCCTTCTAACCACGCCGCTACTTTCCACCTTCGGCATCACACTCCTCCCTCTCCGCGGCGTCTTGCGCTGAAGATCATCAATGTCCTCAGCGGAGTCACTCGCAATCGACTCAGCCTCCCCAGCAATGCCATCACCGTCCTCCTCATCCTCATCTTCTCGCTGCCGGCTCTGCTGTATCCGCCTAATCTTTCTCACAAGCAGCTGATCAACCGCCACATCATTAGCCGTGAGCAAGGTCGAGCAGCCAGGGACGGGACACTGCACATGCGCCACCACCCCCCTCCGCCTGTCGAGCGACCCAGCCTGACGGATGAGCGACAATATCGCCTCCCGCTCAAACGTATGCGGACACTTCCGGCTCGTGACCGGATCGACGAACTCCTTGAGTGTAAGCGGACACTTCGTGCTGATCCGTTCCCGCTGAATCGCAATATCGTCATCACTATCACCCTCCGCCTGCGTAACTTGGCTCCTTAGCGTAACCCCCGGAGCCGGGGCCCCAGATTCCGGGAACCAGGTATGCGGCGCAGGCAGCGGCGGCGCGTCTTCGCCGGGGTGCTGAGCATCGTGCACAAGGCGCCGGAAGGAGACGTAGGCCTGGTTTTGGGCGTAACGAGCGCCGCGGGGGAGGGCCTTGTATTTCTCGGTCCCACGCTGCAGGCGGTCGCTGAAGAGTGCGGAGGCACCTTGAAGCCCCGGGGTTGAGGTGGCGCCGGGTGCGGTGGGGTCCCAGTCTTCGTCGTCCTCGAGGTCTGAGACGTCGGTGCCGTCGTCGGAGCGGGGAGGGCGGGCACGGCGCTGGGACCGTTGCGTCGTGCGCTGTGTGCTTTGGGTTATGGACTGGGCGGCCTGGCTGCGTGCGTGGACGAGGGCTTCTTGGACGCAGGAGACGGCTTGCTGGCTGTCAATTATTTTGCGGATGCTTTCTTCCATGCGCTGGGTCATTTTGTCCACCTTCTGCCGCATCTCTTCCAGCGCCTGTTCGGTGTCATGGTCCGCGCCATCGTCGTCCCCGTTTTCGGACTGGCGACGGCTCTTGCGCCGTCGGTGGCGGTCTTGCTTCTCGGCGTAGCGGTCGTTGACGAGGCCCGCGGCATTCGTGACACTGCCGTTTGCGCGGTTGAGGTGGCTGGTAAGTTTGGCGAAGGCGTAGGTGGTTTCGAGGTTTGCGAGCTTGCGCTGCGCGGCGGGGTTTAGGGGGTAGGATGGAGGTTCGTACGCTGGGAGCTGGATGGTGCCGGGTCGGGTTTGGGCGGAGGGTGTTCCTGGCATGACGGATTGTCTTTGGCGGGAGGCCATTGTGTGTAGTTGGCGATAGATATGCTGCGGCTTGGGGCTTTCGAGACACAGATTTGAGGCTGAAGATGGGAGACGCGGAGCGCGTCGGAGTCTAGCCCGCTTTGGCGATGGCGCGTTGGAATCGTAGAGGATATGAGTACTACTCCGTATGCTCGCGGTAATATGGAGTTGCAATTTTCTGTAGTGCTCTGGCACCGTTTCGACCACAAAGCATGCGAGTCGGTGTTGTGAATGGGCCATACATCAATTTGCAACAGTCTGCTTGCGGCGACAAGCTCTACATGATCATATATACCTCCCCTCAAGGAGAAGAGGTTAATGCAGTAGCACCTCTTTCAAGTTATCCCAAAACCCCAGGTCGTAGATGTTATCCAGTTCAGCTAGCCGCCAACACCGTCGCCAACTCCCACTTACCACCCCACTGGATGTCTCATCATCCGCAGCGAATATCGGCGGGGCCCCATCTCTAGTCCTGATAACAATCTTACGGCTCCTAAGTGGCCACTCCACGCCTGCCTCGTCAGTCTCCCCTCCCACACTTTCGACCTCCTCACTGTCCTCCGCACTATCGCGAGTCCCCACCCAAACGACTCCGTCGCCCATGTCATCCCTCAAATCTGCCCATTTCCCAGACTCATTGGTTGTCATGCCCGCCCAGATAAGGTAGATGTGATAGCACAGCAGCCCTGCTGGCAACGGCGCAGTCAGCAGCGCAAGCAGCCCGACGCCCGCTACGCTCAACCCACCGACCATCACCGCCGCGCTCAGTGCGTCAAGCCAGTCATTCATCCGCTGCACTGCTGCACGATTGAACGTGGTGAATGCACCGTCCGCGGAACCATGGCTCGCCGACGGTCGCCGCGAATACCATCCCGCCTGAGAATCACGGACCTGGGGCCGGAGAACTCGGTAAGAGAGCGAGGCGCCATAGGCCAGTAGGACGGCGGTGCTTAGTAAGAGCGCGAGGAAGTACTTGTAGTTTCCGCGCCCGAGACAATTGTTTACCCAGATGCAGTGGTGATCTGCGCGGGCGACGCAGGTGCTGCAGATCGAGCAGTGCTTGCTGCGGGCCGGTTTGGGGAAGTGGCAGGTGCGACAGATACGGTCAGGATGGTAGAGTATGTGGTCGTGGGGGTATTGGAGTTTTTGGGAGGCGTGATTAGCGGAAGTGATGGCGGGGGAGCGGGTGTTCGAGAGGTAGGTGAAGGCGTAGGGCGCGACAACAACAGGTGGGATTAGGAGGCGGTCGGTTAGGGAGAGGCGGGACCAGGTTTCGCGGATGAAGAGGAAGGCGGAGATGGTTGTGAGGCCCAGAAAGAAGATCTGGTGAGTTGATTAGTTTGGGTATATGGGCTGGTGGTGCCCTGTGTAGCCGACATCTGCTGCGGAGACCGGACTTACAATGACGAGAGGGTGTTTTTCATATAGGAGATAGTGTGAGAGGAGCGCGCCAGAGGAGGAGAGTCGTCCGCCTGTCAGACGCGCATCGAGGCGGCGGAAGAAGTTGGGCGTGTGAGTCCATATCACGCGGTGGAGGAAGCCAATTGGCGTGTGTCTTTCAACAATCAGTGGCGCGGACCTTCGAGGCTGACAACTCAAGTTACCTCAGTGCTGGGAGGCGGCCGAAGAAGGCGATAAAGGTTAGAGCAGAGACGGTGAGGACAAAAAGGGCGATGTCACGCAGGCTCCCCATTTGGTGTGAGGATGAATCTGGGGTCGAGCGTCACCGCGGGGAAAGGCGGGAGACGGTGGCCGTTGCGAGAGCCATACCTAGGTAGCTTCTGACAGAGCTTCCATGTCGCGACACTCGAACATCACTGCATAGTTTTTGCTGTAAACTGCTTCATACTCGGCCATCCATCAGCTTCAGGAGAAGAGGTGACAACTCACTCACTACCTTGAGTAGACACGTGCAAAACCGCCAGAAGCACATGATTCCGCGAAACGCGTCTTGACGCGTCAAGCTATCAGTTCTACAGCGCAGCAGCATACACGCCAGCAACACGATCACTACGGCACTATGACAGACGGTCGCGCGCGCATCACCTATGGCGACCTCGACGAGACGATCGACGTCCGCGGCAGGCTCTTCGAAGGCCTTAAGTTCTGGATCGCTCAAAGATGCCCGCTGCGGAACACGTTCGTCGATATGGTCAAGAACAATGGCGGTGTAGTAGTACCGCTTGAGAAACTCGCCGACTACCTCATCGTAGACCATGCGCGTAAGGATACACCGCCGGGAGGCATCTCGTACCGCTTCATTGAGCAATCCATCAAGGAAGGCAGGCTGGAAGACCCCGAAACACATCTTGTGGGACAGCCAGTAGGCACCGTTCGCGCTGTCGGCTCAGTGCAGCCGAAGAAGGGCGGGAGGACCCCGTACACCCAGGCGGACGATCTGGAGCTGTACAGGTGGGTCAAGGGGTGTGAACGGCAGGGCTGTAGTGTTCTTGGCAATGAGATATACAAG